CGCACGGGGGGGGTAAGGGGGCTATACGGTGGCTGTGCGGTGGGTCTACTGTGGGTCTACGGTGGGTCTACGGTGGGTCTACGGTGGGTCTACAGTGGGTCTACGGTGGGTCTACGGTGGGTCTCTGTCTCACTGTCCTGCCTGCAGTCCACATCTGTCTGCTGCCCACACCAAACACACCACAACACCAGGGTGACGACGACGATGATGATGATGATGATGATGATGAAGGCCTCGTCATCGTCATCATCATCATCAGAACATGAAGGAAGCAGCAGGGGGCGCTGCAGCTTCAACACAGTCATGCAGGATCAGAGGATCAGCCACAGTCCACATGCATCAACATGAAGTCATGTGACCAGTCAGGTCCGTGGTCAGACCTGGACCAGGACCCAGGTTCTGAGCAGCAGAACCGACCGGTCGGATCTCACGTCACACACAACGTCCAGACACGTGGACCTACTTTCAGGAGGGACTCGGTCTTTGTGTGGACACCCAGACAGACTGCGGTGGTGTGGGTACAGACCCGTCACGTGACCCGTTCCGTCGCAGCCCGGTGTTGGACACTTGCTCTCCTTCTTCTCTCCTTTGGACAGATCTGGGGTGGATGAAAAACACCACGTCACAAACATGACCTCAAAGACCTGAACGTCTGACCAGGAGCACGTGACCACCCAAGACCACCGCGGACACTCTGAGGTCAGAGAGCCTCAGTTTGTCTGCAGCTCATGGATGTTGGAACCACTGAAAAGAAGCCAAAGTTTTTCAGATACAGAATGTTGCTGTTGTTGCTGTTGTTGCTGTTGCTGTTGTTGCTGTTGTTGCTGTGAGTAGCCTGGAGCGGCAGCACTGAAGGTTAGCATCACTCAGACAGACAGGATGAACCTTCAAACCCCCGACCTCGGGTGCAGTCAAACCTGGCACATGACCAGTTTTTAACAGCAGCCAGATATTTGCAGAAAATTGGCAAAAAACAAACTTGGAGTAAACAAAAAAATAGACTTTATTAACACGAACTCTGGGAGAAGTTAACGTTAACGTCTGCGACAGAAAAGACAAGATTCAAAAAGAATCAGTGATTTTAGTTCAGACCAAAGTCCATGGAGAAAAACAGTGATCTTAGTTCAGACCAAAGTCCATGGAGAAAAACAGTGATCTTAGTTCAGACCAAACCTCATAGAGAAAATCAGTGATTTTAGTTCAGACCAAAGTCCATGGAGAAAAACAGTGATCTTAGTTCAGACCAAAGTCCATGGAGAAAAACAGTGATCTTAGTTCAGACCAAAGTCCATGGAGAAAAACAGTGATCTTAGTTCAGACCAAACCTCATAGAGAAATCAAAGATTTTAGTTCAGACCAAACCTCATAGAGAAAATCAGAGATTTTAGTTCCTACCTTTAGGGTAGTAGACCCTCTTCAGCCCCTCGTGGTGCATCCTGGACCTGCGCTCCTCAGCGCCGCTGCTCAGCCTGGGGCTGTGCTCGCCCAGGTGCCTTCGAGGCAGCGAGTGTTCGGAGGCCATCCGATCCCTCATGACCTTTGCCCTCTCTGACTCCAGCGCGATGGCCTTCTCCAGCAGCGTCAGGTTTCCCTTGGCCATGTCGAAGGCCTCGTCCGAGCGGTCGGAGGCCACAGAGGTGGTGTCCTCGTCGCCCTCCTGTCCACAGCTGCCGGGGTAGCCCCGGGACGCTGGGCTCAGCTGCTCCTCCAACTTCATCAGGTTCACCATGTCTGAATAATTGCGATCCAGGGACCTGGGATCCTCTGCCGCCATCTGCTGGCAGCTCTCATATCTGAAAATGGAAGAAATGTGATGAACATTCAAAGTGCTCCTCAGAAATGGAGCGGAAAAGGGTTTGGCGATGAGAACGTGGTTGCCGACGGTACCTGCTGAGGTGGTGTGCCACCTGATGGTCTGATGGGTTCTGGAGATGCTGGTGGAGCGCGTGAAGGACTGGGCGATCCGACGGCTGGGTCTCACTGAGTTTGCGGGCCAGATCGAAGCACTGGTTCCTCAGACACTCCAGACTGCTGAGACACACCTCCTCCTCGCTCTCCTCCGCCTGAATCCTCATCTGCCCGTTGAGGCGGCCGCCATCGTCCACCAACCCGCCCTCGGGGTAGCCGTCCTCCGGCAGCATGACACCGTGACCCTGGGCCAGGAGCTTCAGGGAGTCCACCGTCTCCCTGACCACGTCACTGTCCAGGTCCACGCTGAGTTCTCCTTTCCTGTCCCCACGCTCGCTGCCATCCTCCTCCTCCTCCTCCTCCTCCTCGTCCTCGTCCTCCTCGTCCTCGTCCTCCTCTCCGCCGCTGTTGGAGGAGTTGCTGTTCATCTCGGACTCCGTCATGGCCTGGTACGCGGCGTCTTCTGCGATCTTTCCCAGGTTGAGGAGCGACTTAGCCACCAGTTCGTCGTAGTTCTCATACTCCTCTCCGGTACTGTTGGCAGTACCGATGGTGCAGCCGTTGTTGTTGTTGTTGTTGTTGTTGTCGTCCCTCTGGACTGGAGTGAGCTTTGATTGGCCGCTGGGTTTGTAATGGTCTGTTCAACAGAAACCAGTCCTGGTCAGGGGTTTCAAAGGTTTGTTGATGTTTGGCTAACGTTTAGCTCTCGCGCTCGATCATCAG